CTGTGCACTCTGTCTTGGATCAGAGTTGTTCGCCAGCTCCCTGCTTGGAATAAGAATAATATCTGTGCATACTGTCTCTGATCTGAGCCATTTCCCAGCCCCCTACCTAGGATAAGAGTGTAGTATCTGTGCACTTTGTCTTGGATCAGAGCTGTTCAACATTAACAGGTGCGGTATCAAATTTTGTCATTTATATGATTACATATTTTCATTAGTTAACATTTTTTGACAATATAAAGACACAAGTGTGTAGATTGTTTTTAAATAAATGTGACGTTTAATTCTTTTAATTTCTGGATACAATGAATGTAAAGGAATTTGTGACAGGAAAAAACTAAAACTATTCAAGCTTTGGTTTAATTATAAAAAAGCAAGATTTATCTTTATAATTCATAGATAATTATAAATTATATGTAATATAACTTTTATTTTTCTAATCATTTTACTCCCAAGCAAGGCAATAAATCTATTAAGACACAAGGGGTTACTGAGTCTGAGAGAATATTAGAAAAAGAAAACTTTCTTAAGGAGAGTGAACAATAAAAGAACAGGAATTAAGAAAACAGAAGATAACAGTTGACATTGCATTTAAATTTTTGAGGATCAAAGTTAACTAAAAAGCAAGAAGCCAGAGTTACACAAGCGAGAAGTGTGAGAGAAGAAACTGTTTGCATAGAACTTTAATTTACATCTAACCAATTCAACTATAAAATGATAAGACTTTGCTGATAATCTAGTCTTTATAGAATAGATACTGAGAATCTATGTCATGGCATTGGGAAAGTAACTGAAGCCGAGATGTTAGGTCAGGATCAATAACATTGCAGATTCTTTGTATTTTTATCAAGAATCTCTAAATACTTAGCAGAAGCACCAGCAATATTCAATGTATGTATATACATTTTGCATTATAGATAATTTAAAATACATGTAAATATACAGTTGAATGCTAACCAGAACTGATTAATCTTTTTTCAGATACTTTTTATAATAAATTTTCTTTCAAAACCCCTTTCCCTTCTCCATCAGTTTTTCTATACACCAGGTCAGGCTTAGGCTTGCTACTGGTAACACATGTTTCGATCCATTATGATTTTGTGTCCTGATGTTTAAATGTTAATCTTTAATGTATATAAATATCTTTTATGTCAATTCTCGAGAAAAATGAGATTGCATAGGTCTTGTTTCATATGTTTAGATTTTATTACAGTTCTAAAGATAGCTTTTTAAAGCGATAAAAATTACCAAAGGAGTCTACAGTAATAATTGTTTTGCTTGATATGACAGACAAGGAAAATGAATTTTTTTGTAGTTTTTCTTTTTTGCTGGTACATATATTAAACATTGTCAACTTCTCTTTTCACTTGTATCCTACTAGACACTCATATATGTGTACACGTTTATTGCTTCACTGAATATGACAGACAAGGAAAATTTGATGAATTTTTGATCTACTTTTTTCAACATTCTTACATTTTTCTGTTTGGTGGGAGTGCAAAGATTGTCCATTGTCTAAGTGCTTTTGGCCACTTCTTGAAAATAACTAAAGAAGTAGCTGAAAGCACTTGGGACAATAGACAATACAGACAATTTTTGGACTCCCTTACTCCAACCAAATGGAAGAATGTTAGAAAAACTAAAAAAATTCATCAAATTTTCCTTTTTCTGTCATATTCAACAAAATATGTTTAAAGGAAACGTTGCTGCCTAAATATACATTATTTATAATTTTGTAAACATATTTTTATGTACAAATTGTAGGAAATATATAAACACAATGCCCCCCCCAAAAAAAAAAAATTTTACTTTATTTTTATTATCAGTGGATCTGAGCCAAAAATACATCCAAAGGAAGATCTATTCTTTGATTCTGTTATGGGTTTTATGCAAACTATAATTTTACAGAATAAATATTTAATTTGAAGATTTTAGAATATACAAACTTATTAAAATATTAAATCACAATTATATCCTCAAAATATATGAAAGGAATTTTGGCAAAGCTTAACAAAAACAAACCTGCCAAAAAAACACAGCGTGCCAAAAGGAGCTTTTGTTTTTTTTCCCCTTGACATGTGATTTCTGTTGTCTCCCTCGGCCATTTTTATTGTTTTAAAAATCAATTTTGAGAATTTTAAAAATGTCAAATATTTAAATAAAAATTGCTGAAGGAGTCTACAGTAATAGCAGTGTCAATGGAAAAAAACATCTTTTTGATAGACCTCTTCTTTTTCTTTTTTTTTCTTTTTTTTTCTTTTTTTTTGCTAGTACATATATTAAACGTTGCCAACTCTTCTTTTCACTCATATTCTACTAGACATTCATATATGAAGAAAAATATACTGAAAAAACAAACAAAAATCCTAATATGCGATTATGCTGTTTTAATGTTTAATGTCAACATCGGACGTTTCGGTCTAATAGACCATCTTCAGGACATATTCATAAAACATAATTAACATAGACCATATACAATTCAACATGAAAAAGACGATGGACATAAAAGCAATACCAATCCAAACAGATAACTGAAATCTTTTATAAGATCAGCGTTCCATTTAAATATGATCACGTCGTCGTCACATGGGCGATGTTGTGAAAACGTATACCTAAAATTTGAGTATTAATCGCATATTAGGATTTTTGTTTGTTTTTTCAGTATATTTTTCTTCATAGTCAGATCTATATCCATATAATTGCTTACACATTCATATATGTGTACGCATTGATAATTGTTTTGCTGAATACGACAGACAAGGAAAATTTGATGAATTTTTTCATTTTTCCAACATTCTTATATTTTTCCCCATTTGGTTGGAGTAAGGGAGTGCAAAAGTTGTTCATTGTCTCAAATGCTTTCAGCCACTTCTTGAAAATGTTACCAGCAGCAGCAGCAGGCCTAATAATTTTACATTTACAAGTTTATAAAATTATGCAAACCAACTACAATGGAATTTTCTATTTTCTCTCATCACATAAATTCACTAAAATAATCTATATTTCTGGGATGAGTTATTGTAGTGTACAATAACCAAAATATCATGAACATGACAATAAAGATAAGTACAACAGTTCAAACAATGTAAATCATTAAAATAGGTTACATGCATCTAGTTTTTTTACAGTTTTTTTTTTTTTTTTGCCTTGAGAACTGACAACAAAAATGTTAAACACTATTCGTTTTTTAATCTGCTCAGTTACAAGAATAGATTTTAATGCATTTGTTTTCAGTTCTCAAGAAAAAAAGAGATTGCATAGATCCTGTTTCATATGTTTGGGCTTTATTACAATTCTAAAAATTGCTTTTTAAAACAAAAATTGTTGAGGAGGTCTACAGTAATAGCAGTGTCAAGGGAAAAGTGGTCCTTTTGATAGATCGTTATTTTGTCAGGTGGGGTTAGTCAATAATATGCCATGCATGACACACGCTTAGGCAATCATGTATCTTTTGATACATGACTGACGAGGCAGATTTCTCCTGTAGTAGGTTGCCATTTCTTTCTGCAGAAAACTAGTATGACAGACTGTTTCTCAGCTCATCAGTGTAGCTAAACCTGCAATTGCTTCAAGCTGGGATCAAAACCTGAACAATTTGACATCAGTCCAAGAAATAATCCTTATACAAATTTTTCTTCAATTTTAGCAACAGAATTGGTACAAACTCATTGATTGTTTGATTACTGCCAGAGAAACAAAGAAACAGACAAAACAGGTCCTCAGACATCTGTCTTGTGAAATAATGAATGTGTCTTGGTCAATCAAGTGAGTTATACTGTATGAACTCTCCAGAGTACAGGCTTGGCTGACAGTGTATGGAGGCCTTGTGCTGCCCAAACAACAGCGCCTTACCCCAACCCAGACTGTCAAGATCCAAGAGAATGCAGTGTGTTACATTTTGCAGTCTAACTTAGCTCTAGGAATTCTGGGAAAGCGATTAATGTTGACCACTTTAGGGGTTCCATTCCAGATTTTCTGTCTGGATTTACTTTCATGACTAAAAGATCAGGAAAGCAAATCGGATCCATTCTATGAATGTCTATAAAATAAGTGATTCTTCTCTTAGCATATTATATTGTATTTTTACTCAATAAAAGATTGTCATTATTTACGCTATTTACATGAGGACCATTGTCCTCATCTTTGTTGTTATCACAACATTTTGGCAATTGGGCACTCTGCCATTCATTAGATGTATATTGATCTGGGTAATCAACAGGGAATTCTGAAGTGAATACTCTATTGAGGAATTGATGTTATTTAAACTATTTATATTTGGACTATTGTCCTCATCTTTGCTGTTGTTATCACATGTTCTGGCAATTGTGCACTCTGGCATTCAATAGGTGTATATCGATCTGGGTAGCCTACAGGGAATTCTGAACTGAACCCTTTATTTAATCTATGGGGGTAGGCTGTTCTCATTCCACTGCCCATGTCTACAGATATCTCATCTAGTTCTAATTTTTAGTACTGCTCAGTTATTGCTCACCCACTTTCCACAGAATCCAAGTACACACTGCCCAGCCCAAGGATTGAACTCACAATATCATCCAAATTCACGAACCATTGCTTTAATCCACTAGACTTTCTAGAAGCAGTTCTTTTCACTGCTAGAAACAAGTCCTTCCTTATTAGAAATAGTTTTCTCTAGAAAGTTTTTTTTCCCCTGTAAGAAACATTTCTTTAGCCTGCTTGCAACAATTCTTTTCTTTGCTAGAAAAAAGTTGCTAGAGATATTTGCTAGAAGCAACTCTTTCTCTGTGAGAAATAGTTCTTTTCTATATTAGAAACCATTCTTTTTCCATGCCGGAAACCCTTCATTTCATTGCTAGAAAAAATGCTTAACCTTAATTTAACTTGCTAGAAACAATTTCCTTACTTGAAAAATTTCTTTCCCTGCAATTATAAAAGCTAATGCCAAATTACAGAAAACATATTTTTCATATTTTGTTCCTAATAAAACATGTTAATTTACTTGGGTATTTTTATTTATTTTTCAGCAAAACCATCTGCTGGGCATGGACAAAGAGAACATGTAAAGAAAAACCAAATTTGCAAATTCTACTTTCATTTTAAAAATATATTCAATATTATAAATTGCTTTCTTTTTATTTATTTATATTCATTTATCTATATTAAACTACAGTCTGGAGATCCTCCTTTATGACTCATCCTGCTGTGCTGAATATTAAGAAAAAAATGACCTCGAAGAAAAGCTCTCAAGAAATGTTACTGAGTTCTCAAGATCTTGTGTCCAGTAAACCTGGAAAAATACTCCCGTGTTCAATATTTTTAGCCCTAAAAAAATCCAGAAAGAAAAAAACAAAAAAAACAAAAACAACTGCTTACAATAACTTAGAGAATGAATTGAAAGAAAAACAGTTTTGGTTAAAAAGTGATGAAAATTTTACAAAAGTTTATATGAATGAAATGGGAGGCTAAAAGCACATTTGAATTTCAGTCAAAAACATTTTGGCTTTGAATGACAATTTTCAACAGAATGGAATTCCAGTGCCCCTCAGAAAGAAACTGAGGTAATGATTCAGCCATTTTTTTTTTTTTTTTTTTATTTTAATTAATTTCCTGTTTGAATGAAAGCTAAAAAAATATTACTTTACCAAACATGCATAAATCCACCTCTTTTATCTTATCTCTATCTCTTTCCTTCTCAAAATTACATACTCTCTCTCTCACACACTCACACACACACATTCTTAATCCTTGAGAAAATGTGTTTTCCCAAATGTCTGTCTTTTGGAAGATCTTTTTCAATTCCTGTTGTCTGCAATTGTTTTCCATTTGATTCTCTCTGCTGTGTCCCAAGCTAATTAAAAATTGTCACAATAATTAAAATGCTTTTATAAAATAAATTTTATTTACAAAATAGTTTTTGCAATTTTTACAGTCTGTATTGCTGATCTTTGAAAGAAAAAAAAAAGAAAACCAATTTTGTTTTGCAAATACCAGATATTCTTTTTTTTAATATAAAACCCGAGTCAAATATGACTTTGGGAATTTCTAATCATGAAAAAATTAAACACTATTGCATCCTGAACCTTTTCACTTTTTGATTTTTTAAAAAAAATAAATTTGACAGTTTTATTTTTGAACATTGACCTTTGACATACAAATAGTAAAGCCAGTAATGATTTTACTTTTTTATTTTATTTTTTTTTGTGGGTGGGGGTTGCCTTCCAGGAAACAATAAACATATTAACGATAGATACATGAATGCTAAATGCATGAAATGATAAATTATTTCCTTAGAAAAACAGGGTATAGATCTTTTTTTTTTACATAATGTGTCACATCTGTTTTGGAAGATAGAGATTGACATATGTCAAAGAATAGATGGTTAGAAATGTACAAGCAGGTGCTGAAAAATTCTCAATGTAACCAAGAGTCTCTTTTTAAAAAAACACTAAAAACAAAATTGATCTTTTGTCAGATTTTAAGTGGTTCAGACCAATAAATTTTCAGCACTTGTAAAAGCAATCGATTATAAATCAATAAATGTAACACAAGTTTAGGATAATGGCAAAATTTATTAATCCCACTGATATTTGCAAAAGCGATATCTGATTAGTAATCGTCAATACAGCAATCAGTGTTCTGAATTTCAGTCTGTCAGCAGCCTATTGTCATGGCAACTCTTTTTTGCACATCTGATGTCTTTATTCTTGTATTTCGAATTATTCTCATCTAGGTTGATAGAGATGACGTTTTGATGAAGTACCCTCTGATCATCATCAGGTATCCATTGATTGGCCGATATGGAAAATCTGCTGATTATTGTCATATTTTTTCCCTGTGATATCAGTCATTGTTTGATCCTGCTGAATTGGTGTGTCACTACCAAATCCAAGGATTGAACTCATGACCACTAGGTGATAGTAACACATGTATAACCAACTCCTATATCCACTGAACCTCTTCTTTTATTGTCCTTTTCCTCACCTCTCCTCATTAAAGTTTTCTCATTCTCTGTAACTCCCTGTGTCCTAGTGACATTGTCACCTTGTTTAGGGCAAAACGATAAAAAAAAAAAGAAAGCCTCCAGACATTTCAGGTCCCTATTGCTGTTTTATCTTTGATGCAAATAGACTTTTTAGAGCCCACATCTATGAACACAAGAGAGACTGGCGTTTGGACAAACAATCTAGCTCTCTTGTTTTGCATCAAAATGATAGTGGACATAACTTTGATTTCATGAATGCCACCCTAATTAAAAAAGAGCATAATTCTTAAATATATTAAAAACTTAAAATTATTACCAACTATAAACACATGGCTAAAATATTACATTGCCATCTTTGAATTCATTCTTAATCGTTTGAGCCATGTGTTCCTGAACATTTTTAACCCTTCTTCCTGAGTCAAAATTCACAAATAATTCGCATGTAATGTTTTATGGTAGATATAAAAATAGTTACAAAAAATATAAGCATTATACTTATCAGGAAGAGAATATGATTGCATGCCTTCACTTTATCACCAGAATTCTTTCTTTGTGTCCCAGTCTACCCAAAGAAGACAACCAATAGCAAAACATGACACAAGTGTTTACCCACCATTCGACTGGTGGCTGTGCATTAAGTCATTCTTTTTCTACCACCAGTAAAGCGGTGGTAAGGTCTCAAAGGGTTAAAGAATCTAACTTATATCTATCTAATGAGGCCAGCTATAAATTAGAACCTTGTAACCTCCAGCTGTGCAGGTTGATGACACAAAGGTGAAGATAAAAACACCACTAAATAGACATATACACAATTATGAATACACATTACAATCTGATGCCCACTTAGACATACAAGAATCTTCACAAACCGATATATACATAGAATTATCCACGGTTTTAATTCACGTGACACGTCTGACCAATGAAAACTGACTCAGACATAATTAAAAACGTCAGTGTTTGTCTTTTTGCCTTTTTTCTTTCAATCTCTGATGAAGCTTTAATAAAAGTGAAACATGTTAGATTGATGGATGTTTTCTATTTGATCTTTATTTTACCATCCTGTCAGAATCCAATCCATATTTGATCCCAATTCACTGTTCATTTTACCTGCCATCTCTCCTTGATTTCAGAACTCTATAAATTATACACACAAATGCTGCTTAACAAGTCAAATGTACATGAAGCCTGCTCAACCAATGAAAATCAAACTACACAAAAATAAAAATATCAGAATTTCTTTCTTATTCTTCATATCTCAATCTCTGATGAAACTTTAATAAAAGTGAAACATGTTAGATTGATATATGTTTCTTATTTGTTCTTTTATTTTATCATCTCATTGGATTCCAATCCATACTTGATTTTTAACCTGTAGACAATTTAATAGGTCATGTATTTCATCCAATAATAACTAATCAAACTCCATCTTTTGAAGATGGAATGTGCAAGTTGCCATTGCTAATATTCTCTGGTTTCTTGTATCATATACAATAAGCTTTCTACTTCGAGTTTCCAACCTTTTTCTAAACCTTTCTCTTTTTATCTTCAGCATATGTTCGTCTACAAATTGAGTCGTTCAGAAGTGTTGTATTGTAGTTTAGGTGTTACTTTAGGCTCGTTTAATTTGCATAATTTTATATTTTGCTTGTGACTGGAAGATGGCTCTTGATGCATTTTAACGTGTAGAACTGCATTTGTAAATATTTTATTATTTAGTCTATATAGTAGTGGATGCTGGACAATCTCTTCACAGATGGAGAAGAGACTTGAAGCAACAGAAATGTGGTTCTACAGAAGGATGCCATGGACTTGACATGTAAGAAACAACAAAGTTTTAGAGAAAATAGAAACAAAAAGGAAACTTATAGTTAATATCAGGAAAAGACGGTTGGAATTTTTAGGGTACACAATGAGGAAAGAGAGGGCTTGGAAAATCTGATACTCAGAGGACAGATTGAAAGTAAGAGTAACAATAGAAAACACATAACCTACCTAGTGAGCTTGAGTAAATGGATGGCAGAAAAGAGTTTAGACGTGATAAAAAACCTAAATTAAGAGCTACAAAGGACAGGAAATTGCGGAGAGCCATGATTGCCAACGTCCTGAAGGGACATGGCACATAGAACGAAGAGCTTGTGTAAAGTGTTGGCAGAACAGGCAGGGAGAGATAAGAAAAAGACCAAATTTAGCAAGAGTTACAAAGGACAGGATGTTGTGGAAACCCATTATTGGTAGCATCGTGAAGGGAGATGACACGCAGAAGAACAAGCTTGTGTAAATTGTTTGCAGAAGTAACAAAAAGAGAAAAATTTACCAGGAGCTACAAAGAACAGGATGTTGTGAAAAGCCATAAGCGTCAATGTCATGAAGAGGCACCTCACATAGAAGAAGGTAGACTATGTATTTCTTTATGTACCTTTCTGAACATTTTCATGTCTACAAACGTCTTTGCTGTTCTTGAAACTAATGGTTCCATTTTTGTGTGTGTTGCACAATCCGTATGCTTATTAGCCTTTTATTATATTACTGTTTTCTTTTACTTTTCTAAATTTTCATTTAAATTAAAAAATGTTGATAATTTCCTACGTTTTGTAGTGACTTTTTGCGTCGTCTGGTAGCAAAAAAAACAAACAAACAAAAAAACACCTGTGTGCAAAAGTTGCAAGTATCCCAGAATAGGTTTCCTCTTTATCTAATACTAGCAGTAGAGCCCGGCGTTGCCTGCGGATGTAACAGTAAGAGACAGATCAAGTATCGACCATCATAAAGACTGAAAAATAAAATTGACAAAGATTATTGTTTAAGTTTGACGGACACGCATGTCTTAATTATTTTTTTTTTTTTTTACGAATTGGTCAAACCCAAACTCAAACAAAAACATTGTTTTCAATCGTTAGGAGTCTACCGATTGAATAGAATTTTATAAACAATTGCAATTGTAAATGGAATTTTTAAAGCATTCTGAATGTAAAAATAAAGAAAAAAAGTGTGCAAGACAATAAGAAACACTACCTACCAATAAAAAAGGGAATTTTGTTGAAATCGGTTGAAAAATGTAGGAAATCCGATCCCATATAT